ATACGGAAGTGGTTGACAAACTATAACAAGGAATCTCGACGAGAGGTAGACAATATTTAAATTATAATCTCTACGAAAGAAGTTATTTCATCCTATTTTTACGTAATTCTATGTGTTACGTCAACTGTGTTATATATTTTTGTTTCAAATAGGCCGAATCTTTAGAAATTGATCTGGAAGTACGTAGAAGGGGAGAGGAAAGGATAGTTGAAAGCGTGTTACATTAATACGACCTTGAATGATGATCATGATGATGCCGATCAAATCAGAGGTCGGCAAACTGTACGAGGCGAAGTATTTGGTTGGCAGGCTAAAATATCGAATTAAGGGGGTTGAGTCTAAAATAAGTTAGATCAATGAAAGAAATAAAGTACAAAATGACTCGAGTTTCAATTTAAATCACTCGCAATGTCAAGGGAGAAGAAATAATGTTCTGCTCAACATGTAACCGAGCGAAACGTGGTCCTATTTCGGGGGGAATAATAACTCCATTACATTTTTTTTCTACACTTTACATTAGACGTATTGTATTTCATTGGATATTTCAGCATTCATGGAAATGTACAAAGATAATATGTGCATTATTAATATTATACCTATTAGCATAATACTTTTAATAAAATCCTTACTTTTAATCAAAAATACATTATGTTTTTGAATATGAAAAACCATACAACTATGGAAAATTATTTTAATTTATGGAAATTATGTTTCTTTTTATATTATTCATTATAAAATTATATTTTGCCTTCAGTTTTAGTTTATTATAGAATACGTTTTAATCTTGCCTGGTACCATTAAATGAATAAGAATAATCTTTTGTATGTCGCAACAATCGATGAAATCGCTAAAATCAGTAAAACGATATAATTGCTGGTTAAATTTCTTATGATTATAATTTATTTATAAAAGTAATTCATCAATAAATAAAATATTTTTTTCATGAATGTTGTACTTGTTCGAAAATATCTGGTTTTAACTATTTTTAGGCATGAGTCGCTTATTAGCTACATCGGTTAACTTCTAAAAAGAAAAAATATGTATTATGTACATTAAATATGAGAGCCAACCAAGCTAGTTAAAAATTATGGAGTGCACCAACTGGATTAATGAGCGGC